TGCTCCTGCCCAGCCCACCCATTTTGGAGCAGGAAGTGGGGCCCTGCCCCCTGTGGTGGCTGGAGCTGACCAGCAGTCCAGGTCAAGAAAAGCAAATAAGGGAAACCACCCTGGAGGCCAGATGTAGTTTCTGTGTATTCCACCTAGGGCTTTGCAATGACAAGTCGCCTTGATTGGATGGGTGCTTTGTTTCAGGGAAACTTTGGTGCCTCTTCTCTTGATACCCCCTTTCTATTGGGGCAACTGCCTGGCCCTCTCCTTGTGGTTCTGATGAGGCTGTCGGTCACGGCTCCCCACCCACCCCTGTGGACGTGTGCCTAGGCAGACCAGTCACAGATCTCCATGGCTACCTTTGGCCTCTGAATTTGGTTACAAGGGTAGAGGCTTGACAACAGAAGGGCCATCCAGCTCTTGCCATTCTGTTTGGTAAAAGGGCCCAAGGAGAAATAGGGTCTCATGTTGTTGGAGTTCAAACCATGAGAGTGTTGGCTTGAGGGCTTGCCATTGGTCATCTTTCCTGATGCATGTAGGTGGGTCTAGTACTTTCTGGCCATGACAGCTGGGGTAGGTTGCCTGTCATCTCTGTGCCTCAGTTTCCTCACCTGTAACATGGAAGCATTAACCGCATCTGTATCAGTGTGCTGTGCACAGAGTGGTGCTGATCACATAGCGAGAGCTAAGTGATCATCATCTTCTTTTTCATGGTTGTTTTCAAGGAGAGAGCCTGCCCTCGGCAGGAGAGAATGAGCTCTGACAAGAAGAGAAACTTAGATAAGAAAAGGAGCAGAGACAGCCTGAGCTGAGAGATGGGGAGAGGGAGGAGAGATAGGAAGACAGATCAATAGAAGAATAGGCAGCCCCGGTTGGTGTGGGTCCAGGAGAGCAACTTGCCCCAGATCACACAACTAGGAAGGATGCACACCTAGCTCTCTGACTTCAAACTCCACACTTTCACCACCATTTCACATCATACATCACATTTCATATAGTCTTTCCACTGTATCACTGTTAGTAAAAACATCAAATAATGTCTTGGAATTATTGTGGAAATAGTTTTCACGGACGCCCTGAAAGGGGTTTGGCGACCCCCAGGACGTCAGAGCGCACTTCGAGAAGTGCTGGTTTAGTCGGATGCTCCCAGTTATCCTCTGTAGTGGGCACGATCGGGGTCGAAAGTTCTCCTCCGCCCACAGAGAGAGAAGGGCTGAGATCTCGTCTCTTCTTATAAGGGCACTAATCCCAATCGTGAAGGCTCCACCCTCATATCCTAATTTTCTCCCACAGGCCCCTTCTCCAAATCCCATCACCCTGAGGGCTTGAATGTGTGAATTTTGTGAGGACACAGTTAAATCCATAGCTCTAGTTGAGTAGCCTTAGATGAGTTTTCCTTTCTTCCTTCCTTCCTTCCTTCCTTCCTTCCTTCCTTCCTTCCTTCCTTCCTTCCTCCTTCCTCCCTCCCTCCCTCCCTCCCTCCCTCCCTCCTCTCTCTCTCTCTCTCTCTCTCTCTCTCTCTCTCTTTCTTTCTTTCTTTCTTTCTTTCTTTCTTTCTTTCTTTCTTTCTTTCTTTCTGCTAAGACAACAACTGTTTCATCACATCCCGCGATTCTGTGGCTCAGGAGTTCTGTAAGGGCACACAAGGACAGCTGATCTCCACGTGATGTCTACTGAGGCTGGACCACCCAATGGGGCTTCTTCACTCACAGGTCCAATGCCTCAGCTGAAAGGGTTGGAACGACTTTCCCAGGGTCCTATTTCTGGGGCCTCAGTTCTCGCTGTTGGCTGCATTGCTTGCTTCTCCCTGTGTCATCTCAGTCTTTTCCCTCTCCATGTAGCCTCTTGACACAGTCTTCTGGTCCCTGGGGCTTCTCACAGAGTGGTGACTGGCAGAAAGAGGAGGGGCAAGCAACAGGAAGGCAGTGAAAATGACCAGGTTTCTCAAGGCCTGGGCTCCAGAGTCTTAGACGGCACTTCCGCCTCATCCTCGTGTTCCTTAGTTCTTCTGAACCTGTGGTTTCTCCGAAGGTGACAGTAACAAGGCCCCTATCGCCCGATTATCTAATCAGGTTCATTCCTAGCTCTCCTCACACCCTGGGCCCTTCTGGGTACCGTAGTTTTGTTCATTCATTCATTTAATCCTCACAACCACCCTGGTGTGTTGGAGCCAGGCTGCCTTGGCCTGTGAGAACCCATGGTTAAATTTTCAGAAAATCTGCAAGTAGTCGTTAAACCCTTGACACCTTGTAATAGGCTTGGTGGGAGTATTTACACCACAGTAATTGGTAAACACACAAATCAGGGCCCTTTTTTGTTATTTTTCAGAGAGCTGGTTTGCCGGTACACTCGTGTGTGTACGTGTAACCATTTACAGATAAAGAAACTGAGGCTCAGAGCAGTTAAATTTTTGTCCAGAATCAAGCAGTTTAGTAGGTGGTGCCCCAAATCCTATGCCCTCACCCAGTGTGCTGTCTTGCTTCTGTAGATAAGAAAATGGGTATGAAAGAGATTCCTAAATGTCAAAGCTATAGAAATATTCGTTATTAAGCTTGATGCAGAAAAAGTGTTTCATCCCCGCCCACCTGTTCTTCATCCATTTACATGGCCAACAATGATCTGATTATGCCCCTTCTCTCTTTCTCCTCAGCCCCATACTTCAAATCATCTTTCCCACATAGGTGCATCCTTGAAAACTCTCCTTCTCTATTCACTTTGTCTGTTTCTCAGCATCACACTCTTCATTTACCACCCCCTTCCAGAGTCAGCACTCTGGTATTGTTTCCCATTTCACTTTTCGTCCCACCCCCACCCCCCTATCCTAGCAGTAAGGAAGTCAGAATAGAAGCTGCCTTCCCGCCCTGACTGCTCCCGCCCCCTTTATCAGAATCTCCGTGTAGAGAGCTCTCCGTACTCCGGTCCCGTTCCCCCTTCGTGGGTGACAGGGAGGCCAGACAGCTCCTAATCTGATCGCTTTCCTTGTTCTCCGACACCCCAGAGAAACCGCACATTCCGTTTGGTGGTCGTCAGAAATAACATGCTTAAGAAACCTGGAATTATAAAACGGCTTAATTAGAGAGAGATGGTTTCACTGGGATATGCCCAGTTTTCCCCGGTGGTTTTATCTCCTTCTCCAAGTGGCCCGCCCCCCGGCAGCTAATTGCTACCCTTAGCACGATGCCACACAGGCAGTCACTCCCTTTATTTTCTGTGACATTGGCACTGGCTCAGAAAGAGACATTCTGTCTCAGATGTTCAAACTCCTCTTCCTCATCAGCAAACTCCAGGAAGTGGATGTGAATCGTGAGGGTGGGATCGTCAGCTTCAGCTGTCCCAGTTAATAAAGGAGCACCTACTATGTGCCAGGTGCTGGGGATATGACGAGGAGCCAGATTATGGATGTGCTTATGGAGCTCAGGACCCAGCAGGAGAGACCGATATGAAAATAATTTTTTTAATACTGTGAGAAGTGCTCTAAAGGAGTGATTTAGAGGGTGTAATAGGAGCACCTAATTTAATGAAGGAGTTGGGGAAGGCTTCTCCTAGGAGGTGACAGTTAATTGAGACCCAAAAGAGGAATATGTTAGCCCGGCAAAGAACAGGGGACCGGTATGCCATCTGCAAAGGAAGAGCTTGGTCTATATAGAAAAGTAATTGAAAGGGCCAAGAAGCTGGTACCTGAGCCTGCTCTGGAATTTGGAATTGTGTTAGTGTTCCCATCATCAGTAGGGGAAGGAAAGGAGGGAGGGAGGGAAGAAAGGAAAGATGGATGAAAGAATGGATGGATGGATGCATCCATGAATGGGTAGATGGATGCATGGGTGGATGCACCATGGATTGATGGATGGGTGGGTGGGTGGGTGGGTGGATGGACGGATGCATGGATGGATGCATGGGAGAGAAGTGGGAAGAAAGGAGAGTTCTTTGGGGGTTCCGGAAGTGACAAAAGCAAGTTGAGGTCGGCAGCTGGGAGAGACCGGGCTGTTGGTCCAGATGAGCTGGAGCATGCAGTGGCTGAGAGTGCTGAGGGAGGCACAGGCGGCTGAGGCTGGATGGCTCAGGAACACAGCCCACAGCCTGGGTATCCTGCAGAGCCTGGAGCCTGCTGCCAGGGTGCGGACAGAGCTGGGCAGCCCTCAGCATCACTGAGCTGCTGCTCCATGGCCCCAACATCCATCACATCTGTGGCATGTGAAACTCATGCTGGCCCCGCCCCACATCTCTGCTCCCCAGTCACCACCACCTTCCCACAGGCCGCAGAGGGAAATGAGCATTTCCCCTCCAGGGGATATTTCTGGGGGTCAGGGTGCACAGGGTGCTCGGTGCTTTCCATGTTTATCTCCTTTGACCCTCAGAGCAAGCCCATCAGGTAGGAACCGTGGCTCCTGTCCTGTAGGTGCAGAAACGGAGGCTCACGAATGTGCAGCAAGGTCACATTCAAACGTGGCCCTGTCTGAGTCCATGTTCTTTCTCCAGATACCAGCCTGCCTCCTTGGTGACAGCAGGTGGTAGAGCTGGGAAGAACCCATATCTCCCCCCGTCCACTTCTAGGCCTGTCCTTACCTGCACCCTGCACTCCTCCTGCCCGTGCCTCTGAGGGCGGTCCCATGATGGACCAGGTCAGCCCTTGAGAGATGGGGGTGATCTGTGTGCCCAGCAGGGACTGTGCCCCCATGTGTGGCCCTGAGCCCTCGAAGCCACAGCAGGCATGGGGGAGTGACCCACACTGCAGCTCTCTACCGAAGGTGTCTGGTTTCTCTCTCTCTGAAACGTGATCTGCGGGGCTCTGATCCCTGGGTTGGCGGGCAGTGGGTGAGGGCAGCGGGCAGGGGCCGAGTCTCCCCGGCCATATCTCAGGCCCATTAGGAGCGGGCCTGAGTGCTTTCCAGAGCTGATTAATGGCCTGCCTGTGACCTAGAATGTCATTATTGCCCAGGCCGGGGACCCCCCGGCTGGGTCCTTTGGGTCTTTACTGCTAACAGTAATTGATGCTTTCTGGTTGGTTGCAGGGAAAGTTCTATCTGGTCATTGAGGAGTTGAGCCAGCTGTTCCGCTCACTTGTCCCCATCCAGCTGTGGTACAAATACATCATGGGGGATGACTCCTCCAATAGCTACTTTCTGGGCGGGGTCCTGATGATCCTTTACAGCCTCTGCAAGGTAGGGCGGTGCGGAGTGCGGGTGGGGGGAGGTTGGCTGAGGGCTGGCCTACGGAAGGCCCTGTTCACTAGCCGGGCCTGGGGGGCAAGAGGGAAGCTTGGAATGACACCCTAATCTCTTTTAAATTGAGGTAAAATTCACACAACACTAAATTCAGTGACATGTAGCCAAACTACAGTGTCGTATAACCCCCACCTCTGTCTAATTCCAAGATATTTTCATCACCGCCCCCCTAAAAAAAACCCAACCCTGTACACATATAGCAGCCATGCCCCCTTTCCTCCACCCTCCTCACCCCCAGCCCCTGGAAATCACTAGTCTTCTTTCCATCTGTATGGATGTGCCTATTCTGGACACGTATGCAGTCACACAGTGCATGACCTTGTGGGTCTGGTTTCTTTCACTCATCATGTTTCCAAGGTCCTGTGCTCAGAGGAGGAGTCCTGTGATCTATTAGCAATGCCTGCCCTGGGCTTCGGAGGGGACAAGACAGTACGCATGCTGTGTATTGGCTATCCTGGCCCAGATACAGGGGAGGCTGTTGATGTAAGGCAGGGAGGCCAAAGTAAAACTGGTGGGAAGGAAGTTTCAAATGTCTCATGAACATGCTCAGAGGCAAAGATGAGGGTTCAGTGGGGTGGCGCCAGAGTGGTGAGAGAGCTCCTTGGATGCTTTTCAACGATCACCCTGCTTTCCTTTCAGTCCTTTGACATCTGTGGCCGCATGGGTGGAGTCAGGAAAGCCCTGAAGCTTCTCTGCACCTCTCAGGTAAGTCGGCTTCATGTGGGCCTGGCCAAAGTCATAGGAACTAGGAGCCAGGCGCCGGGATCAGATTTTATCATGCTTCTCAAGGGATGGCTCCAACGAGGGTCCACAGCTGTGCTTGTCTCTCTCCCCTCCCACAAACAGAACTATGGAGTCCGGGCCACTGGGCAACAGTGCACAGAAGCTGGTGACATCTGTGCCATCTGCCAGGCTGAGTTCCGGGAGCCTCTGATCTTAATGTGCCAGGTGAGCAGAGCTGGGCAGGGACCTCGGAGACTGTGGCCAGGGGGCGAGCAGGCAAAAGTCTCCAGTGCCTGTCCCTACACCAGACCTTGGGGCACTGGGATGGGTCTCCGAGGGCAGCATGGTCCAGACTGGGGTCGGTCAGATCCAGGTTCATATCTCACCTCTGTCTGTCGTTAGCTGAGTGTCCTTGAGCAGGTCACTGGACCTCAGCTTCAGTGTCGAAAATGAACAGTTCTATATGGTGCAGTATCAGAATCCCCCGGTGGTGCACCCCGGCAGCCCTCTGGACCCGGGGCGGGTAGATCTCTCCATCTCTCTGAGCACCGACTGTTCTCATTTATGCAACGAGTATCACGGTTGTACCTACTTTGGAGAGCTAGTGTTATGATGAAATGAGATCCTCTCTGGAAAGAGCTAAATTCGAATTATTTAGTCCTAAAAGTTGTTTTTACAAAATTATCATTATAATTATTATTATTATTATCACTTCTTTTCATTATTATTAGCTGTGGGTCACCAACCCTTTGCAGTGAGTACTGGTTAGTCTCTTTTAACTTCCTAATTGTAGTCCTCCTCCTCTTCTTTCTGCTTCTTCTTCCTCTTCCTCCTCCTCCTCCTGACATCGGAGGCTAAGATGTCAACTCAGCAAATGTATGTGAGCCAAGCATCCAATCAGACACCAGGGAGGTGCAGCAGAGGGCACACAGACCCTGTCCTATGCTCTGGAAGCTCATGGTCTCCTTGGGGAGACCGACACATCCATAAATAACTATGAAACAAGGCAGGCGGGTGATAAGTGCCGTGTAAGAGAGATTCATGCAGCGTCCCGGGGGACCGGGAAAGGCGGAGATGGGAGATGAGCTCCAGGTTGGAGAGGCTTTTGGGAGGAGGCAGAGCCTGCAAACTAAGAGGAATCAGGAGCATATGGCTCTCCCACCAGCACCACCTTCCAGGGGTGAGGAGACAGGAGGCAGGGTCCTGTTTTTGGCATCAGCAACTTTTTTTTTTTTTGCTTTTGCTGTTTGGGGAGGAAGCAGGTTTGTTTTTCATTATTTTATTTTATTTTCAAATTGAGAATGTTTTTGCATGGTCCAAAATTCAGACTGAGGAATTCAGCAGAGAGGAGTCGAGACCACTGAAGGCCACATGAGACCTGGGTTGGGCCCTGGCACAGAGAAAGGGCACGCACAGGGAAGCTGGTCTGACGAAGTCCTGATGAAGGCTGGAGTCCCGCCGATGGGGGTGCCTCGCCATGGGTTCCTTCGCTCTCACCAGTGGGCCGTGGAGTTGCACGAGGGTGTTGGGCAGACCGGAAACTGGCAGGAGGATGTGCGAGGACGTTCTATACTAATTGCAACTTTTCTGTTAGTCTCCAGTTATTCCAACAGTAAGATTTTATTTTAAAAAATGCCTTAAAGACATAAAAAGGAAAGTGGTGACAGGCTTCCTACTTTTGTCCCCAGCTCCCCAGTCGCCTAAGTACCCACGCAGGCAATTACTGTTTCCACTTTCCTCCATCTTTCCAGAGACGCTTTATAAACACACACACACACACACACTCACACGTCTTTTTCAAAAAGACATAAGTTGTAGCATATTCTACCCAAGGTGTATCCTGCATCTTTCCCTATTGACTTACAATTCTCTTAAGACATTGCCACCTACTTACCTCTCGCCGGACTTTTGGGGTAGACCCCAGGTTGTTGAACATTTCTCCTCTCGATGGGCATCAGGGGGGCGGATCCCTTTTGTCGTCACAGACATGGCTGCCCTGAGAGTTCGGAAACGGAGAGAGGATTAGTTCTCATTGGCACACCTTCCGCGTCACACGCGTGCGAGCTCTTGGTAGGATAAATTCCTGGTGGCGGTGTCACCGGGTCAGAGGGTGTCCAGTTTTGACAGATGTTGCTGAATTGCCCTCCATCAAGAGCGTATTCGCTGAGGCGCCCGGTGCGACATGACCTCTTGCCCCCACCCTCGTCAACTCACTCCGTTATCATGTCCTTTCTGAGCTTTGCCAGCCTGACAGGTGACAAAGGCTATTTCAGTGCCGTTTTAGTTGCATTTCCCTAATGTGCATCTTTTCCCGTGCTTCCGAGCCATCTGTTTCCTTCTCAGTAGCAGCGAGTGTTCGAACGTGGCGTCAAGGTGAAAGTCTTTCTTCTTGCTTTCTGGCAATCCTCTGAGCCTTAGTCTGTCTCTGTCTGTCTCTGTCTGTCTGTCTGTCTGTCTGTCTCTCTCTCTCTCTCTCTCTCGCATTCTCCTCCTGGCACCGTGCTGTCTCCCTGTAGCTGGATTAGAATTCTTGGAAGGGGTTGGACAAGATAGCACTGTCCCAGATCCCAGAGCCTAAGCCACAGCCCGCGGTGGGGGAAGCCCACCGCCATGGGCTGGCGAGCGCACATCTCAGTCTCACTTCACTTTTGTGAGCCGGGCCAGGAGTGGCAGAGAGGATGTCCCTGGCTGAAAGGGCCTTGTTAATTCCTAACTGCACTGAATGAGTGAAGAAATGAACGTATGAGTCAAACGTGTCTTAATGAAGGCTTCCTTGATTCTGCTTCCCCAGACTAGCTGGTGCCTCTAGCTCTGTGGCCTCACAGGTCCCTGTGGTTTTCTTTCGTGGCGCTTCTCCCAGTCGTCAGCTTCATAGTTCATTAGGCCACTGGCTGTGTAGGGTCTGTCTCCTCTTTGCCGAACTATAAGCAACTTGAGAGTGGCAGCCGGGTGTATCTCGTGTAGTGGCAGAGTTACAAACCCAGTGTGACTCAGTGATGGTGGGTGGAAGGAAGGAAGGAAGGAAGGAAGGGAGGACGGATTGAAGCAATGAAATGAGATGGACGGTTGGGATGGAGATGGGTGGTGACTGGGGGAGGGGTGGGGAGTGAGTGCAAAGCTGGGTGCATAGAGGTGTGAGTGTACAGGTGGCTGGGGAAATGGATGGACAGATGGGTGGGTGAATAGGTGAGTAGATGGGTAAATGAAAACGGGGAGAGATGGGGGAATAGATGAGTGGCTGGATAGATAGTTGGGTAGATGGATGGATGGATCAATGGACAGATGAACAGAAGGACAGAGGGAGGAAGAGCCCACCAGGCTAAAGGAACATCCTGTCTCCCCTTCAAAGGGTCATCAGGCTAAGGTCAGTGTGTCACTCACACTCACGCCCCGCCCGCCCCCCAGGGCCAGGGCCTGGGAAGCAGACTGCCCACTGAAGCCAGTCAGGCAGACACTGAGCATGCCCGGAGGTTCACGCTGTAGCTCAGACAGCACACGCTTGCCCCACAGTCAGCCGCCCTGCAGAGTTCACAGTGCGCCTCCTGCCAGCCCGCAGAGGGCCAGGGAAGAGGCATGTCGAACACAGAGACAGAAACTTGGCTTGTGGAAAGGGCTCCCTGCCAAAGAGAAGAGACCGAGTGTGACTGGAAACCAAACCGCCCTCCAGTCCTCGGCAACCCCGAGTCTGTTCTTTGGAGTGCCCACGACAGAAAGGAAAGGGGGCAGGAGCAGGCCATCCCCAGTCAGTTTGGTGCTGTGTAGACCTCACACCTGGTGCCCCGTGATGGCCTTACCTGCTTCCATCCTTGCGGACACCTTGGTGGGGAAAGAGCCACTCTGAGGTAACTCGGAAATCCTGCTCCGGATCTCTGAGCCGTGGCCGTCCTGGAGCAGCCCCAGGAGCCGGGCGCAGCCCTTCCCTGCAGCCTGTGGTGCTGGTCCCCGCCCTCGCTCCACCCCTTAACTCCTCAGGCCTGGACACAGGTGTCCCTCCTCAGGGAGCCTTCCCTGTGGGTCCCCCAGGTCAGACTGGCCCCCCTGTCACATCCCCCTATAAATACTGTTGAGCTCCTTTAGAATACTCCATAAATAGGCACCTACTGCATACTGTGCTTGAGATGGGTTTACAAGAAGCTTCCGGTCTGACATAGACAGATGGTAAACAGTAGGCAGAACATAGTCCTCCTACTGTATATGATAATATATGCATATTACCCACCAGCACTTATAGAATACGTACTATTGGCCAGGCGTAGTTCTAAGTGCCTTCTTTTTTTATTGGTTTATTATTCATTTTTTACTCTGTAAAGAACATTTTATATTATCTTCCTCAAATGTTTTGAGAAATTTTAAACCTAGAGGAAAATTGGAGGATAGTAGAATGAACACCCTTTTGACCTTCATTTAGATTTACTAACCATTAACATTTTACTGCATTTGCTTTTCGTATGTAAATTTTCCCCACTAAACCTGTTCAGAATAAGTTGCTGACACTTTGATTCTTCATCCCTAAATATTTCAGCAGATATCTCCCAAGAACAAGGACATTCTCTCTCATTACCACAATCCCACTAGCATACCCAGGGAACTTGACATTGATATGAAGTCCCAATATTCATATTTCTCCAGTTGTATTAAAAACACCCTCCAGAGCTAAGGTTCTTCCCCACATCCAAGATCTAATCAAGAATCATATACTGCATTTGATTGTCATGACTAAGTGCTTTGATCTTCCTGTGAGGGGAGTACTGTTACCCCCACTTTATAGGTGAGAAAACTGAGGTACAGGGAGGTTCAATCGCGGGTCCAAGCTAAAGCCAGAAACCAGGGGAACTCATGAATATCTCCAGTCTCCCTGCATTTCTCCTGACCCCTGTGGTCTGTTCTCAACCCAGCTGCCAAAGGGATCTTTTTAAAATGCAGATCATATCCAATCACTCCTCAGCTCAAAGCCCTGCGGTGGCTCCCTACTTCTCTCAGGATAAAAGCCAAAGTCCTCAGAATGGCTCACAAGGCCCTGTATAATCTGCACCCTCCGGCATCTACTCTCTGCTCTCACCTCCCCCCGACACTCCCGCCTACCACACTCTGGGCTCAGCCACCCTCTCCTCACCATCCCCCAGCATGCCAGGCACACTCCTGCCTCGGGGCCTTTGCACATACTATTTCCTACATCCGGGGCCCTCTTCCCGGATATCACCAGGCTAGCTCTTCACTCTCCCTCAAGTTTTACCCAAACGTCAGACTCTCGGTGAAGTCCTCCGAGCCACCCTGTTTAACTTTGCAGTGCCCCCCACCCAAGCATGTCCTCTCCCCCCTTCCCCGCATTTCCATCTCAGTACTTACAACTGACATACTCTACATGTTAGAGAGTCATTTGGCTAGTTGTCATGCCAACTAGCATGTGAGCTCCAGGCGGGCAGGAATTGTCTGTCCTGTTTGCTGCTGCGTCCCCAGCTGCTAGGACCAAGGTGGGGGTGTGGCGGGTGCCCCGTGAAGCATCCTGACCGTGCTGATCGCTGTCCCCGCAGCACGTGTTCTGCGAGGAGTGCCTCTGCCTCTGGCTGGACCGCGAGCGCACCTGCCCGCTCTGCCGCTCCATAGCCGTGGACACCCTGCGCTGCTGGAAGGACGGGGCCACTTCGGCACACTTCCAGGTGTACTAGGACTGAAGCTCCGGCACTCGCAGGGAGATGACACGGGGTCAGTGTCGTGGGGTCCAGCTCTGGGGACTTCCTGGAAAACAGGCTGCAAGCACGGGCTGTCCTGCCTCCCGCCTCTTTCCACCTCTCCCCCTAAAGCCAGGCCCCTGTCCTTCCCTCCGTTGCCTTCGTCTCCTGCTCCATGGCATGGTGCGTGCGTCCTTCCCTACAAACGGGGAAGCCTCCTAACCCAGACTTGCTCTCTGCCCAGGTAGGTCTGCCCCTGCCCCCACTCCAAGTCAAGGAAGCTGGAACAGACAATGTCCTGCCTGTTGATTATTTTAACTCGAGGTAGCCAAACACCTGATGCTGCAAACTGGGGAGGGGCCTGCAGATTTCTGCCTCCCCCCGGTTGGCCCTGGTCTACAAGTGAGAATCACTGTGAAGTCTTTTGCAGGCAAGACATCAAGCATCCTGCCTAGAGGACCACCTTGGACCCTCAGAACAGCTCCGAGGTGGAGGGACTATTGTTTCCTCCATTGCACAGCTGAGGAAGCGGAGGCACAGAGCTCCACGTGGCCACTAGGCCAGGGCCACCCCGGTGCTCGCCGTGGTGGGCTGAGTTGCCAGCCCAGGCCTGTCAGGCCTCAGAACCTGCACTCCTAACCACTGTTCTGACCCACCACTCAGATGCTGCAGGTGTGGGTTTTTTTTTTAAAGCACGAGAGGCGATCTTGATGCCCCCGGTGGCCCAGGTGCATAGCATATTTAATTTGCACTGGTCGACAATGCTAACGGTGAATGTTACCTTTGGAAGTCAGGCTGTGGCTGGGTCCTCGGAAAGACTTGTCCAGAAAGCGCTTTTTGCCCAAGCTCTGGGCCGGGGTGCTGAGTCACATGTGAGCAGCAAGAAAGGCCAGCTTTGGTCCACATTCGGGTAGCCCTGGGTCTGCATGCCCGTCCGGGTTTCTCTTCCCCTCCTGTTCTGGTCCCCTCCTTTCCTTAAGCCTCAGATTGGTCAACACCCCCCACGGACATTACCTCTGCCCTGGTAGCCTTCAGACCTGAAAGGGACAATCCATGTGAGGGACTGGCCCACAAGCCAGGGTGGTGGCAAAGAGCATAGTGGCAATCAGTGTTCCTGTGACCTCTCCATCAAAGCCACTAACCTCTGCAGCGGAACCATTTCCCTCCCTGCTTTGAGATCTGGAGGAGGTGGCACAGGTGACCCCATAGATGCCACTGGAATCTTGCCTGTCCTACCCTCTCTGCCAACCCTATTCTCGCACTGACAACCTCAGCACCGTGGGCTGGCACCAGCAGCATTTCTGAGAAAGTCTGGGTGGTTAGTGAGCAGATTAGGAAGAAAGCCGCAGGGCACGTGGCGGGGACCTTGCCGCCCGCCAGCTCTCGGCCAGTGCTCACGTGGCTGGCCCTTCCCCAGCAGATTCAGATCTGCCCCTGTGTGCTATCAAGCCAGGACCTTGTCTTTCCCCTGACATCCTGGCTCTTTCCTGGTACCCAGCAAGATACCCCTTCCAGGGTTGCGTGGCATCTTTCAAGTGCTGTTACTATGGCAATGGCTGCGATGTTACAATCTCACTTGCCTGGATAATCAAGTCGGAAAGGGAAGTGGAGGGAAACAGAGCCTGGTGGACACAGCTTCTCTGCTCCCCTCGCCTCCGGGAAGAACCGAAGGGAAGGAATACAAGCTTCTGCAACTGCTTGTTTTAAAATCAGAGCTCCCTGCCTGCAGGTGCCGTCAAGAGGCACGAGACATTGGAGCTGAAGGAGACACGAAAGTGGCAGCAGGTGACTGAGCAGGTGGAGCAGTATGTGGGAGTCAGGCCTGGAGTTCTGAATCTTTTTACTTATTTATTTACTTTATTAGAGTGGCTTTGGTTAATAAATCATATGGGTTTCAGGTGTACCATTCTATAACCCACCATATCGTATTGTGTGTTCACCACCCCAAGTCAAGTCCCCTTCTATCACCTCTTATCCCCCCTTTACCCTCTTCTGCCCGCCCCCGCCCCTCGTCCCCTCTGGTCATCACCGTGCTGTTGTCTGTGTCCGTGAGTTGTTTTGTTCTGTTCTTTTTGCTGAATCCCTTCACCTTTTGCACCCAGCTTTCCCCCCCCGACTGCTGTCAGTCTGTCCTCTGAGTCTGTTTCTGTTTTGTTTGTTTATTTTCTTAACTCTGCGTGGCTTTGAGAAATCACTTCACCTTCCTGTAGCCGTCTCCATGGCGATGAAACCTAGTGTATTATTTACTGGACCAGGAAAATTCACAACATGGATTGCTCGTGAATACATCAGTGATCCAGTCCATTACACTCGTGCACCCCCCACACACAATTCTCTGACATTCTGCACGTAACAAGCCATGCCTCTGACACTGTGGAGAGTGTCAGGCATGGGGGACACTCGGGGTAAGGTGGGATTTTATGTATTCATCTCCTGTCCTGCAGGAAAAGTCCTGTCTAGAAACTCCCTTTTGGATGGGAGGATTTAGCTTCTGCTCTAGGCAGGAAGAGTGGCCGGTGCCGGGTTTTCCAAATGCCAAGCCAAGTGTATTCCCCAACTCGAGTGTGAAAGCCGCCAAGAGCCACCATCGTTGGAGGAGAAGAAGGTACCCGTCTCCTTTACCCATCTGGGTGCCACAGCTCATTTATTATGAGCGCGGTCCATCGTCAGAGCAGAGTACCCTGCTCTTAATATTTTATGACTTGCTGACTTGAGTTCCACGAGGTCCTTGGAAATGGCCCTCTGAACGTAAAATATCTTGAGTATAATGAATGTGAGGGACTGAAACGGCCAGCTCTGGGCCTGGATGTAACAGACTCCTCACGTACCAAAGGCACCGGACACCTCTGGGCTGTTGAGACTCGGGCTGGAAGGAGGAGCTGTGAAGCCAGTCCTGGAATCTGTCAGGAATTTTGCACTGGGCCAGACAGCCGCCTTTGGTGTTTTTAATGTCCCCCCGAAGTTTCCTTCTGCCAATAAATATCATCTGTCCATGAAACCTAACATGCGTGGTCTTGAGTCTTCTGTTGCCTCTCAGAGCCGGGTGGAAGCATTTGAGAAAAATGCAAGGAAGCTCCTGGTGCCGTGGGTGACCCCCTGACGCTGCATCTCCCCAAAGCAGTCCCACCGAGTGGCAGGTGACGTTTTCAGAAATTGGCTCTGGGGTTAACCAGCAAGGGGGTGAGTGAAACGGGAGAGGGAAGGAGAAGGGGGCAAGCAAGAGGGAGCCTTCCGGACAAGTGGCTCCTCAGCTGGGTCCCACGGGGTCTCTGGAGTGTCTGTGGCATCTGAGAGTTGGCCCCACCCCGAGGTCTTTGACCCCTGTGCTCTGTCTTTGGCACTGGGTTGCCTGGGGCGGTGTCAGGGTGGGAGCAGGGCAGCCCCAAGCCTTGGAAGGTGCCGGGTGCCACGGAGCACACAGGGTACAGGACAGGACACAGATTTGGCGGAAGACAGGTGGCTGCGGCCCCTACAGCGCCCAGCACAGGGGTTAACTGTAGGCCGTTTGGGCCTGGGATGTAGAGGCTGGTGTAAGAAGGGTTTTCCAGGTGCCGGGTCATGACCAAAATTTAAAACGTAAATTACAGCCCTGGCTGGTCTGGCTCAGTTGGTGGGGGCATCATCCCATAGAACAAAAAGTCACAGGTTCGATTCCCGGTTGGGGTGTGTCTGAGAAGGCAGCCAATTGATGTTTCTCTCTCTCTCTCTCTCTCTCCCTCTCTCCACCCACCCCTAACCCCCACTTCTTCTCTCTCTAAAAGAGGTGAAAAAATGTCCTCTGGCAAGGATTAAAAAATTAAAGTGTAAATTGCAGTTGACCTTTGAACAACATGGGTTCAGGGTGCCAACGCCCTCCATGCAGTCAAAAATCTACATATATGACTCCACCAAAACGTAGTAACTACAGCCCTGGCTGGTGTGGCTCAGTGGGTTGAATGCCGGCCTGCAGACCAAAAGGTCGCTGGTTTGATTCCCAGTCAGGGCACATGCCTGGGTTGCAGGCTGTGTCCCCAGTGGGGGCCTGCAAGGGGCATCCAGTCGATGTTTTTCTCACACACCGATGTTTCTCTCCCTCTCTTTCTCCCTCCTTTCCCCCTATGTCTAAAAAGAAAAAAAAATTTTAAACTTAACTACTAATTGCCTACTATTGATGGGGATACCAGTAACAAACATCGATGAACATATTTTGCCTGTTACATGTATTATACACTGTACTCCGTATTCTTATCATAAAGTAAGGTAGAAATAAGAGCTTGTTACTAAGACGGCCACAAGGAAGGGACACCATAGCACAGAGAAATACCCGCATGGAAGTAGACCCGCTCAGTTCACACCCGAGTCGTTCAAGTGTCAACTGTGACAGCACTAGGTGACAGTACATGTCTCACGGGGCAGCATTATGGGGCCACCACAAACACATCGTCAGGCAGAGCTTCTCGGTCGCAGTCCTGAAAACCACTTCGGACACAGCTTAAATAGAAGGACTTGATTTGTTGTTCGTGATGGGATAGGCCTCCAGTTGCGCTGGAGTCGGGGGCCCCAGGGACGGTGTTAGGGCCCCGTCTCTCCAGCCCTTGGTGCTGTTCCCTCCAAGGCGACCTGATTTCCAGGCGGTCGGGTCACGTGTGGCGCTCAGGTTCTCCTGCCAGCTTCCCCAGGGACCAGCAGAGACCTGCTGCTTCCCCAGCGCTCCCGCAGGAGTCGGAGGTTGACTCCTTAGTGTGTTCCCTGGGCGGGGTGTTGAGCCCAGGAGGGGGGAGCAGAGGTGTGTAGGAGGACAGAGTCCTCCATCATTCTGAGGCTCCTGGACTGATCCAGCATTAACGGCACAACCAGCTCATGAGAGTTGGGGAGAGGTTGGTCTCTAAAGAAAAAAAGGGATCTGTTATCTAGAAAAACAACTTGTTCTCAACACCCTATTCCTAGGGAAAGACTAGAACTTGGTGTTTCGGTGCCTCTCACTGAGACCAGGTAATTGCAGGTGACAGTACCTCCCCAGAATGGCCCATCTGCCCATAGTTGGAGTATCAGTGTGCAGGCTCATTGGTTTATCTACATGATGATGGCATACGTAAGTCAGTCATGGTTTTGTGCATGACCTTGAACTTGAACTGTTGGGCCTGTTCCCCCAACCCATTGCCCAGTCCAAGGGTACTGTTTAGGCCAACCCTCCCCTTGGGAGCTTCTCAGAAATACGAGACAGGAGGGAGGTGAGCGTGTGACCTTCTTTCTGCCCCTGGGAAGGAGGGGTGCGCAGCCAGATCCTCCCACAGTCTTTGGGGACCAGCCTTCCACAAGGCAATGAAAACACCAAGGCCTGTAGCTGGAAGTGCACAACCAGTTTTTTAATAAAGTCATTACAAATATGTACAAAGCGTCTCCAAGGTACGAAATTCCTCTTACAAAAGAGCAAACGACCCGGCAAGGGCAGAACCCAGAACAGAATGTCCCCAAGCTTATTGCCTCTCTGACTGAGCCAGAGGCCCCGCCGAGGTTCCCATCACCCCACAGCCGTCCCCACCACAACACAGGCTCCTGGGCGCTTACAGTGCAAAAGACCTTGGGAGGAACTTGGGGATCACATTGGGGAGGGGACAGGAAGGAGGTCAGAAAAGCTTCCCATGTCCTAGGAAGTGAGTCAGACAGGCCCTGTTTACAAATTAGAAATTCCTCCCAGGCACCTGACAGAAACCAGGAACACAAAGGGCAGGGGACGAATACATAAAACCCCAACTAAACCATCCAGCCCGCCCCGCGGTGTCCCTAAATGCAACACTACTGGCAGTGAACCTGACTCAGGCTTCCCTGCTCCCTGCTGGGCCCCTAGCTTGGGCTTGCCCTTGAACCAATGCCTTGGAACCAGCTCAGGAAGGAATCCAGCATTCACAGGGCGCCACACAGACCTGCGTCCACATCTTGGCTCGGCCACTTCACTCTCTGAGCCTCAGTTTCCTACACTGTAACTTGGAAATGGTACTAGTTCCGTCTTCCAGAGTGGGGTGAGGCCTAAGGGATGGGGGGAATGGGTGAGGCGCACCCCCTGAATGGCGGCTCTCATTCCATTCCTGTGTGAAGCAGCAGTGGTCTGTCCCTCCGAGCTGGGAATGAGCTGAGATTGCAGGCTTTTTAATTGCCTTCATGATAGTGTGTGGCGCTCTGTAAATATACATACTCTAGAACAATCTGCCAGCGAGGCTTGGGGTCATAGCAATGACCTGACAAATCTGTTAAAAACTGTGAACCAGACTGGGAAGGGACATGTCGCATTTGTTCTATGCGGGGCTGCCCCTACGCGATGAATAAGTGAGTCTCTCCCCAAATGGGATTCTACAACCTGGCACGCTGTAGGCACTCGATCAACAGGTGTTGAAGGAATGAATTAAAATTTCGAAAAGAAACTTTCGGTTTAAGCTTTAAAAGGACACACTTTGATATCAATTTCCTCTATCAGCTCCCATGGGCCTAGGCCAGGGAATCTAGCCTGTCCCCCATATAGCGCCCCCCCAAAAGCTTCAGACCCCCTGAGAGGCCTGGGGGCACTTAAGGGAACATTCAGAACAGGAGCTGATATCAACACAGAAGAACAAAACCCATGTTCTGGTCACTGCAGCTTCTAATACCAGCTGAACATTCAGCAAGTCCACAATGGCAAACCAGTGTCACCAGAAGATGCTTATGTGGCATCAGAGAGGGACTCCCTCCCCCCATTTCACAGCGAGGAGATATTTTTATCGCTGTCAGAAACATAATAAAATAAGAGAACATAAGATCAGCTACATAAATTGTGACATCAAAGCCACAGCCCCATTGTTCTGTGACAGTATCCTTTCAATCACCATCCGCCATCAAAGTAGAAAAGAACTGTAACATGAGACACTGGGAGGGGTGGCAAAGAAGTCTCCAGCATCCCAAGGAAAGAGGAAGAAACAGGAACCGGGTTCCCCGAGACGCTCACGGCCCAGGACCGTGGACAGCAGCCAAAGCGGCACACGGGCTCCCCCCAAGAAACCTGTTACTCGGGCTGCATCTACGCCAAATGGGATTGGAAATGGAACCCCAAATCTGCAAAGGGGAAAGGAGATCCTATTGTTCTGAGGAGCTTGGGGCAGGGGAGAGAAGCTTCCAGAAGGGAATGGATCTGCTTTGGGACGTTGCAGTCCCAGGGGACTCCAGTCCCCATGGCCCCTGGACCCCCGGCCTCTGAGAGCAACCCACCCTCAGGAGGAGGTCCTTCCGTTTACTCCTCACCTCATTATGCAGTGAGCTACCTAAACAGTGATCTCACAAGCCTGGACACACACACACACACACACACACACGCACACTCGCACACTGCAGTCTGCTGAAACCCGATACGAGGTCTTTTTTAAAATTTATTTCAAAGCCTCCCTCCCTCCCTCTCTCTTCACAGACGCTCTGCAGTGAAACTAATCAAAATCAATGACTCCTTGGCAGCCGGAGAAAAGGGGGGGAGGGGGACATAGTGCCAGCACTTTGCACACTGTGGAAATATTATTTTTAAAAGAAAAACACCACCCCACTATCTCATGCAATCCAAGTAATGCAACAGGAGAGACGGGGGAGGCAATCTATACATATGTCATGCTTCAATTTCCTAATACAAATGTCCGTCAAGAAGTCAAATCTCATATAAAAACAAGCATTAAAAACAACCCCTTGTCAAAAATTGGGGCAGTTGAGAAGTGCACTCAAATTAATGATGTGCAAGAAAAAACCAGGATTAGATAAATACACGGTTTCTAATAATACAAGAGAGTATGTACAAGGGACTTGGCTGCAAAGCTCCACCCGGAGGTCATGGGTGCCCCGTTCTCTCAGCAAAGTGGCTTCATTGAAATCAAAACTGCCCCAAACGCCAGCCCCCGCATTTGGAGCTTGGATCCTCCGGCAGAAAAGTCATGAGCTAGGAGGCAAGTCAGGGTTGAACGGTTGAAAAAGGGATTCTCTGACCTTTCCCCTTTCCCCTCTCTGCTCTAGGTGGTCGGCATGTCCCCACTCTGGTGCAGCCTGTGATCACGTACAACTATAATAATGAAAAACCTCTCCCCGCAAAAGGGGTGAGCTGGACCCTGGTGCCTAAATAAAAGCAGAGGCTGTATTTCATATCCTTCTAATTAATTCGCCGTCTCTAAGTAGGTGGCAGGGCAGTGTGGGGGGGGGTGCAGATGTCGCCTGCTACTCTCTGCAGACAGACCATGCCTACACACCCATCCCCTGTAACCCTAACAGTGGGGGGCGGGGGACACTCCAGTGAAGAAGGGAAATGAGTCTGGGGGTGGGGGGCAGGAGGTTGCCCTCACCTTCAGCAGTTTGCGTTGCATTTTTCTTTAAAGGGTTACTTTATGAAAACATCAGGCATGATTTTTTTTTAAGAAAGATAGCTCCCAGGTTGCAGCAGTAACAAGTGCTGCACCCATAAGGGACCTGGAAATTTTCAGCCCAGCCTGTAGGGAATGATTCCCACTCAGCCCCCTGTCAGTGTTAACAGCAGCCCATCCCTCTGCCGCTTCTTGGAACTAGAAGGGCGCCTTCCACCAGTCCAGGAGACGCCCTGGCCACGGGTACCGGGTGGTGACCTGCAAACCCAGCCTTGCGGAGTGACTCAACCCGCAGCCTGGCCCCTCGCCATCTCAGCTTTGAAAATGGCAGTGTGATACTCCACACAGAGAAATAATACCTGTTTTTGTTGGATTTTTAAAAATGAAAGCAAAAAAAAATAATCATTCCCTGAAGAATGACCTTTGCAGCCAAGTCTCAGTCCAGCACACATCTTTTTGTTTTTAGCCCTTCTAGAAAGTTCTGAAAATAGGAGCTTACTGGGGGAGGTGCTTACAATGAGACCCTCTGTCAGTGAGATGCTGGTGCATTTCATTTAAATGACCCATGCCCTCCCCCAACGTACCTTGCTTATAAATTACCCTTGACTAGAGCGTAGCCATTTCTTAGCTCTTTAATCCATAAAACCTAATCCCTGAAATTCCCTCGGGGAATAGAGGAGGCTGTGGGCTGAACTCCCAGGATACTTTTTCAGGGGGTGGAAGAGACAGCAAACAAGTCATATATGAGGTCAGTGTTCCACCTCATAGTCATCACGCCCTTCCTCCCGCCCGGACCTCAAGGTTTTCTCCCACACACCTCTGGACATTCGTCCCCATATAAAGAGAAGAGACTCTCCAGTAGCACTTTCCCCTTGTCCCTTTAGAAAAAAAGAATTTGAAACAGCAAACTGAAATCCCTCTTGTCCCCTGGCCTCGCAGGTCTGGCAACAGAATGCCAAAGCAGCACCAGCAAAAACACGCTTAGCACCAGCAAAGTTGACGTGAAGCACCAGAAACAGCAGATTGGCAGGGGGGAATCCAATTTGTCCTGATGGGACACTGGGACTAGCTGTCTATCTCAGGGATAGAGAGAGAGGCTGGGACTGGTCACGACTTGGAAACAGAAGTATCCCAGACTGCCCCTGCACACTGGCCTCCAGCGAGTCCTCCTCACTTTTTTTTTTTTCTATTTTGCCCTTTGCCCTTTCACCTCTCACTCCGCCAGCATCCCTCCCCAGGTGGTTGGTCGGCTCTGAGGCTAATTCCCACCAGTCTCGGTGACTTTTCTCAGTAGGCGGTAGGCATCTCTCTTCTGGTGCCCCAGGCATGAAAGAGTCAAGTTCACATCGGGAGGTGCAGAGAAGGGAGGGGACCACGTCCTCAACAAGGCATGCACTGAGTAGCAATATTCATATTTTCTTTTTTATATATAGAGAGCGAGCTGTATGTAAATAGCATCGGGGTGTTTGTTTCTGCAGCTGGGTATCCAGAGGGCTTCCCCAGTCCCATTCCGCTTTGCTCCAGTGCTCCAGGCGCTGTCTTTATTCTCCACTTCCTTCTCGAAGTGCCAACCGCCGCCTTTCAAGCTCTGGGCTCCCCCTCGGGAAAACGGCAACCAGCTTTCTCCAAGGACACAGGGTTTTCACCAACCTGCAGAAATAAGGATTTGTGTTTCGGTCAGTCGTCACGTGCAGACAGCCAGTAGGGATGACGTCAGTGCCTTAGGCTTCTGCACCACCAGCCTGTCAGGAGGGGAAGGGGGAGGGGTCAGAGCTGCCCGTCAGGAGGGAAAGGGGAGGGGTCAGAGCTGCCAGATGCCAAGCTCTGCTCTTGAAGGGAAGGTTCCCCCAAAACTAGTCTTAGGGCTCCCCACCCTGAGCGCTGTCCACATAGCAGCCTTCCCTAAACACACATTTGGGCGCACACCCCTACCCCACCCCATTTTCAGGCCTTAGTGTTTACACTGGCATCTTCTATGATTAGAAAAGAGACTGCATTGCCACGCTACCTTTTTGCCCCTCCAGGTCAGGGACAGGGTCTTTGTCTATTCAATTCATAGATCCATATTCAAGGCAGGCTTTGCAGGATGGTCTCTGCTCTTGTTCATTCATTCATCCATCCATCCATCCATTCATTGCCAAACAGGCCATGCACCATACTAAGCGTGACAGAGCCAGTGACATAGGTCTTGCCCTTGAGGGGCTCAGGGGCTGACAGAGGGAGATGGAAGACATTGATCATGACGGTGTTATATGCTGTGAAAAGCGTGTGATCTGGGTAAACATGGGCTCTAGGAGCCCAGAGGACAGGGAGCCCATGAGGGAGAGGGGGAGTCAGAGAAAGCTCCTTAGAGAAGGAGGCAGACCCCTGCTGAGGACGGACAGAGCCCAAGGAATTAGCCAGGATAAGATGTGGCTCTCCAGACAAGGCAGCAAAAACGGCACATCACCAGGAGATTGAAAGCATATGCTCCCACAAAAACTTGCACGCAAATGTTCATAGGAGCATTACCCATAACAGCCCCAAAGTGGAAACAACCTAAATGTCCAATAACTGATGAATGGATAAGTAGAATGGGGTATGTCCATACAATGGACTATTATGCAGCCACGAAGAGGAATGAAGTACTGACACTGCATGCTACAACATCCATGAATCTTGAAGACATTGCGCTAAAAGAAAGAAGCCAGACATGAAAGCACAAATATTGTAGGATTTTACTTAAATGAAATGTCCAAAAGACACAAATCTTCAGAGACTTTCTGTCTGCATGGACTTGTGTACTTTAAAAGGGTGGATTTTTATGGCAAGTGAATTATATCAGAAGGACATGGAGAAGAGGGAGGAGGAGGTGGAGAGATGAGTCTGGAGAGTTAGCAGGAGCTGCAAGTTAACAGAGGAGATAAAAACCATTTCACACATTATTCTAAAGCAGGTGGAATAAGAACTGCCCTGTAAGTACATGCAAACCAAGTGGTTTAGAAGAGAGAGTGGGAGAGAGATCACTGCAGTTCCTCCAAATTGGAAGAAATCCAGGACGTTGACCTGTGTGAACTGCACCAACAGGTTCTCTGGGCTTCTGGCTTCCTGCCAGGCCTGGTCAATGGAAAGCAGTAACAGGGCAGCAGGATCTGTCAGTGACTAGCAAGCAGCTCTCTGGTTCTACTCCAGACCCCTTCTGGCTCTAGGTGCCACATCCTCCCCTTAGCCCTTCAGGTGAAGGGGTGTGGCCAGCCTGGCAGTAAGTATGGTCTGTATTCTCCCTCACTGACTTCCTAAGCCCTGCCTGCACTCTGGTAAATTCTCCTCTGATTACTCAGTTTGGGGGTGCTCTCTGCCTCTTACTTGGACCCCAACCAATACAGGTGACTGCAAGGAAGAGGTGTGTCATAAACACAGGCCTCGCCATCAGCATTAGCCACCCTGGACCTCAACCCCTGCACTGGATGACTGTCTCGAGGGTCTGAGTCAGCAACTTCACACCTGAAGGTTGTGTCCATACGTGACTTGAATGCACGTGATGACGGGAAAATAACAACGGCATCAGGAGAAGTGAGAGAAACTGTGGGTTTTTTTTTTTTTTGAGAAATGGTATTTTTAAAGCTGTGATCAGCTCCATCTACAAAGGAATGGCATTTCTTGTAAAACTAGGTAGGACCAGCAACCGATTTACACTTTTCCTACCTGTAAGTCATTGAGCCCGACTCTGTCTCTCTGAGAGTTCCAGGTGCCACCTGGATGAAATGCCATGTCCTTTCACAGGTTGGTGTCCACAGTGACACACACCACCGCACGGCCAGCAGGCACCATGTCCCCACGTTCCCCAAAAAGGAGTGGGCCTGTTCATACATTTTTGGGGATCTTGCCTTAGACACCCTAGGCTAGGGACCTAGCCCACATAAGTAGTCACAAAAATGTGTTCCAGGATGCTCTCTCCTTTATTGGTAAGGGTGACAATTTAGAAACAGTCCATGTGCCCATCAGTAGGAGGCCGGGGCAGCAAATGAAGCTACGTGCCTGTTAGAAGCAGGCAGGCCTAAGTACGCTGAGACGGGAGGATGGCTGTGATTCTTAACCGAAAAGAGCAAACGACCAAGCAGCACGGTCCCAGCTCATTTTCCCAGTGATGACCGTGTGTGTGTGTGTGTGTATACCTCCATATAAATGACTGTGTGGCAGAGAAGCAGAATACTGTAACAGTTAAGATCACAGACACTGGCCCTGGCTGGTGTGGCTCACTTGGTTGCAGCGTTGTCCCTTAAGCCAAAAGGTCATAGGCTTGATTCCCAGTGAGGGCACATACCTAAGTTGCAGGTTCGGTCCCCAGTCAGGGTGTGTACAAGAGGCAACGGATAGATGTTCCTCTCCCTCTCTCTCCCTCCCTTCCCTCCCCTCTGGCTCTCTCTCAAAAAACAATAGTAATCAAAGACAAAAAAAACAAAATAACCCCCCACACACAGACTTTGGAGCCTGGGTTGGGATCTTGATTCAGACACGTAAAAGCTGTGTGACTTCTGACCAGTTATTTAGCCTCTCTGGGCCTCAGTTTTCTTTTATGGAAAAGGGGAGAGGCTACAAGTATTATTGTATGTGAGGTACTTAGAAATCCAGCACATAGGTCTGCATCTGTTGTTATTGTTATCATTATTACATACTTTGACTGTGGGGGATAAATGGTGTTTTACTTCCTATGCTTTACTGCTGTATAGTTTTTGTTTGGGTGGTGTTTTTCCCCCCCAAGGAGCAAGTAATAGCTGTACAATTTTCAACCATTTTCAAAACCTTAAGTCTACGGCCCCCTGTGTGCCACTGTCCTGCCCCGGGATGTTTTCCCATAAACTTGGCTCATAAAGAACTTTCTCCAGTCTGACTCACAACCAAAGCTCCTGACCGAAGAGGTTCACGAAACCCCTTTAGAAGGTGTCCCATTTCCACTTTTCACCACAGAATGGAGGGTGCAGGCGGGCAGAGGGGGAGGGGGAGAAGGAGAGACTTAGAGGCCCTGCACCCCCCGGGCTGCATCTGGGCACTGAAGGCAGGCAGCCCAATCCCTGAACCCTGCTGCCCCCACATTAGATGGAGCGGGAGGCTCACTCCCTCTCTCCTCTAACTGAGAAGAGGCTGCACTCTTGCATTCTCTCCTAAGAGGCCACAATTTTTAATTTAAAAAAACTTATTTTTGCTCTTGGCTATTCGCACAACTGATGTCACAAATTCAAACAAGAGGATATAAAAATAAAAGGAAAGCCCCCTTTAACCTACCCCTAACCCTCCCGGAAAATTTCCTGTGCATTTACAGCCACCATGTCTCTCCGCACCCCATCATTCAGTCCCCGGAGCCCAGCATAATGCCTGGACATAGTAAGTGCTCAATTCAACATGCTGAACGAGAGTAAGTGAGCCCATGAATTATGGCGACAACTTCCCCACCCTTCCACCTTTGGTTTCAGTGGGTTGACTTTGCCCATGGAGTTCAGATGGCACCAGGGGTCAGTCCTGGTGCCTAAGACTAAGGGGGACAAAGTTCGACAGGTGTAGAATCTTCTGAGAGAGAAGACGGCTCTGGTCTGTGTCTGTTGTGTAGCTCATGCCCCCCCAGTTAGGAGGCTGGGTCTGAGAAGGGTGGGGCGAGCGAGGGGGCTAGAGGAGCAGAAGGTTGGTTTGCGTGTGTAAGAAAATCGGGGGCCATTTGCTCCCCTCTGTCCAGCCCCTTGTTATCTCAATAGTAATCAATGCTATCAGTGAATAGTTATCAATGCTATTATGAGTCTATCCGTGAATATCATCATTATCGGTGGGTAGTTATCAATACTATCAATGAGTAGTTATCAGTGCTGTCAGTCGGTAGTTATCAATGCTATCCTGAATAGTTACTGATCCCATACAGCCGACCAGAGAACCCGCAGCTCCCACCTACTAGGAAGTTACCGCAGGTGGTGCCTGAATGCCAAGCAGACTTGACTCTGGAAGGGTGAGTCCTGAACTGGGAGGCGGTAGCTCCACAAAGACGGCCACCCGGTCCAACTGGCAGACCCCTCCTACAGTAACCTTGCTGTACGTATTACGTTAGAACATGTGCATTCTCTGATCCGACAACGTCACCTCTAGGAACCTCACTTTTTTTTGCAAAGTTGTCTAAACAAGAATGTTCCTTAAACCTCATGTATACTATCAGAAAATAGGAAACAGCATAAATGTCCCTAGGGAGGTGACCCAGTAAGGAAAACTGTGGTCCACCAGACAACGGGACACTGTTCAGCTTCCTCTCCTCGTTGACCTGGGAAGATCTCAGCAACCTACTTTCGCTGGGGTGGTGGGGAAGCAGGTCACGAAATGGCAAAAACAGCATGACCTTGTTTATTTAAAATTGGACATGTGTGCGCATAAGATAGGTAACATCAGCCAAATTATATGTGTAATTTCTGGGGGTTCCCAAATTCCTCGGTGAGTCCACAAATTCACCCATTATTCATCCATTCATTCATTCATTCATTCATTCAGTAGTTAGTGGGTGACCACACTGTGCTAGTCACCACACCAAGTGCTAGAATATAGTGATGGGCAAAACAGACTTGGCTGGCACCCTTATAAGTCACCCACGTTGAGAAGTCCAGTCCCAGAGGTGCTCCCAGCCCTGCTACAGTGGCTTA